TTTTGCAATCATTTTTATGTTTCTTTGGAGCATTTATTGTGAAATCGATGCGGGATTATAATCTTTCTGGATGGCTGGGCTAGATAACAGATTGCTTCGGTTGTAAATCAGAGATTAGAGTGGCTTGCATGGCTTAATTTTATGTGAGAATGTTCTTGCCATACTTTAGATTTTTATTTGTAGAATTTGCGGTTTGGCATTTGTTTAATCACAGAGAAAATTGATTAAAAATTTTAAATACGGATGGAAAATAAATCGAAATGACAAAAATTTTAAATTAAATTAAAACCTCAAAATATTCAAAATTTGAATATTTTAATCTGCTAAATTTGCACTCAAAAATGCGCTCTCATCATCCAAGTCAAATATCTTCATCAATTCCTTTCTTAAGTTTCTTTATGTCTTTCCTTTGTACTGCTGCTTGCCATGTACTCACCATAATATGTGTGTATGGAATTGCGGTATGTATGTAACAAACATAATATTCGATGGGATACTGGAAATGAGTAATTTACGCTCTCTACTGAAAGCTTTACTACATGTGGATGATGATGACGATGATTAGATGTTTGGCTGTTTTTATATTTCTGTTTATTGCCGCGTCATTTCGTTCACACGGAATCACATCATCATCAAACCCAAACCACTCCACACACAGTGTATGTCTGTTGTGTGTTGTGAATGCATTCACAATGCCAGCAATAAACAGTAAAAATTCTTCGTTTTATTTCATTTCGTCTCTTTCTCATCATAATCAATGATTATATTTAACATCTTTTCCATTGTTGTTGTTGCATTTCTACGGAAAGTGTTAATTGATTCTTTATAATGTGCGGAATGACTTTAAGCACAAGCTTGTTGTAATAGCTTGCAATTTTTCTTCGCCTCTTCTTCTGCTAATATACACCTATTCATGTGCGACTATCTCATATTTCTTGATTCTGCTGCTTTAAGTGTCTTTAGCTTACCTTGTCTTGTCTCTTTTTTAACACATTATAACAGCTCGCCTCGAAATAGATCGGTACTTAACGTTAATATTAAATGAGCAAGCTAGCAACTTAGTAACGAAGTTAATAAAGGTATTAATGATAATTGCAAATTTTTGTTCTTAATATCTTTTTCAAACATTACTAAGTGACTTAATATTGTTGACGACCATCCATCTATCAATTGTATCAGTCAGCGTTCCATCTTTATTATATTAATATTTAAAACTTCTCAACTGTAATGAGAGTCAGGTGAGGAATATTGATTTAGGTGCACTAAATCTTAGTGATATATTTCTATGTAAGTTGCTGATTTTCCTTAAAGTTGCTAAAGTTACTTTAGTAAAAGTTCAATTTTACTTATGATACATTTAGATTTGATTAGAATCTGCCGGGGAAAGACGTCCAGGAGCTCCAAAAGCTACTTGGCGCAGAACAGCGATGAAAGAATGTCAGTTTAATGAGCGGACAGAGAAATTGTACAAACTAGGTGACAAAACCAGCAACAGAGTCAGATGAAAAGCCTTCTGTTGTAACCTAAGCTACACATAAGAACATGGTTACAGTAAGGAAGTAAGTCGCACAGTTATTGAGCCACTTTTATAACATCCTTAGTTTCTTAGTGTCTGACAGCTCAGATTATCTCATTTCTCATTTTTTGTCATTTAAAAGGCTGATTTCCGTGAATTTCTGTTCTTTTCAAAATCCCTAATAAAGAGATATTGCAAAAAATAAAAAAAAAATCTCATCAAAAGTGCGCATAATCGATGTTGAGTATTAATCACTCTAGGCGATATTCTAAACTACCTGTGATCATGATGATCGCTAATTTGCTCATTACACATTTTTATAAGTATATTTTTTCGTTAAAATGATCCTGTTTGATGTAATTGAGACTAATGATTATATGGCGTAAGAATTTATGAATGAAATTGCTGCTCAACAGCTCAACTTCTTATACAGTAGCTGTGAAGAATGAAGAAGGAAGAATGAAAATGAAAAATATTGATCTCATTATGTTCATTCTTTCATTCTCGTTGATACGATGATTATTATATTAATACGTGGTATTGAATATTATATTTATCGTACATATGTAAGCAGGCGACTTTAAAGATAAATGACGCTGATGGTAAAATGTCTCTTTAAGTCACATTCGACGTCGTCGTTTGAAAGACTCTGCAATGTAAATTTATGACTTCTGCTTGATGCCATGTGAACATTTTTATTCTCATGAACGATAGCTTCAGGGCATTAATTCAAGTGTAGATATTTCAAAGTAAAAGGAGAGAGGAGGAATAAAACAACTAAAAGAAACTGGTTATCATGTATTTTTTTGTGGAATAAAGTGTAACACGTGATAAAGTGAGAAGCTCAACAGAAGCTTAAATATGTGCATTCTTAAAAGTGCGATAACAGAAATTTAATTGTCGCTTTGGTGTTGCTGCCACTAGCATAGCAATATTATGTTTATTTTGACATATCTCACAGAAGAAAACTCACTTGGAACCAGACGCGTATGGAGGATTTAGAAGGATGTGTAAAATTTTGTTTTTGTCATAAAACTGTTATTGTGTTTGTTCCTTGTCGGAGCAGAGTAGAATCTGGGGTATCGAGCCATATATAGAGAGTTCTGTCAGTGCGAGAATAAGGCTTATGTGTCGCGAATGGCTAGGCAACAGATTCGATATCTGTAACCCTCTTTTGTGAGGACGTAGGTTCGATTCCCAACAGAGACTGACCTCTCAAACATTATATAGAGTATGGTCGATATACATTATATAGAGTATGGTCGATATCACAACGATTTGCACAATGCTCAAGACATTTTAGTACTTAAACTAAAGGACTGTGGAATTAAGGCTTTTAAGTGCTTTTGGCACCTAAAATTGTAGTTAAGCTATAAAGGCTTCTCAATTTTGTACTCAGGATCATTGCTAACATATTAAACTTCATCTTGCTTCACCAATGAAAGAAGTGATTTGTTACTAAATCTTCACTTACCCTTTCTGACTACCTTCCTGCTTAACACTGAAATAAAAATCATTTTATTATAAAATTATTCTTTGTTTTTATTTGAAATGTTCTCATTGCGGTTTTTTCTTTCTCATTCTCGAGAGAGTTCGATAATAATTAAGTGGGAATTTTTAGTGGCAAACGCTGCTTATCTTTGAGAACTTAATGGGGATTATTTCCAGAGGAAATGAATATTCAAAAAGAAAATAAAAAGACTTAATTTTTGTTTTCTATAAAATGTATTTTTTTCTGTTCATCTTTATTCACAAAAAAATCTCAAAGTATTTTTTATTTATATTACTTAACACTAATTAATTGAAATAATTTCAATATATTATGAGAAAAATCGTTTTTTTTTATATATCACAGTAAATATTTATATGATTGTCATTAAATTATTATCATCATTTTCTTTCAATGTTTTTTTTTTTCATTGATATTTTGAGTTTTATCAATATTGGTTTTATATAATTTATAAGTGGGTTGTCTAATCTCCACAGACTCTATAATAATGCAATACAATTCAATCAGTACAATTAATTCTCTTACAAAGAACAATTTGAACTACTCTAATTAACATAAGATAATGCATACAAAAGAATTAAAATCAATTTTAGATTAATATGTTTATAATAAATCCAACAAGTGCACACTTCAACATTCTATTAACTACCAATAAATTGTGCTATGACAAATTTAAATGCCTATCATGACAAATGATAAATAGTGGCTTTAAAAATATCACTGGCACTAACGATTGTAATCTTAATACTCTCATATAATTATTATATAATGCAATTTAAATTGAAAGGCGCAAAAGTCTTTTTGATCATTGATTGAAATACTTAATTCAAATTACTATGAATTGACACAAGCTATACAAAAAAGTTGACAAAAAGGTGTTTTCAATTTGTGCAAATTCGACTTTAAAAAATTCTCACAGAGGATTAACAATTTTTTTTTTGATCTTTCAATCATGATTAAAGTTTTCATTTAAGCCTCGGATTAAAGATCAAAAGACATGTTAAGTTCAACATTTTACAATGTTGAATGACTTTTGGAACTTTACATAGTAAAATGGAAAGAGGTAGAAAAACATTAGAAAAATTTCAAGATTTCCTGTATGTAGGAACATGTTTGAGATCATGTGATTGAGATTTTTTGATATGTCATGAGCTGGCTGATACAATTAGTTATTAAAGAAACATGTTGTGAGTGTGCAGTCGATTTAGATGGATGGATTTAATCTATTGCTTATTAATTTTGCAAATTAAGTGCTTTTTTTGAGTTTGGTATGAGCAAGTAAGGTGGTTTTTTTGTTATATTTAGTCATCAGGCATTTAACATTTTTTTTTTATGTTTATGATAAGTCTTTAAGTCTCCTCGCAGTTAATTCTTAAGTATGCAAAAATTGTCTTTTTAACAAAAAAACTTTAAAGTTTCAAAGGCAATTTTGTGTATTTCAGTTATTTTAGACAGCATTAAAATTTGATGGCAATAATTGGTATTCAATGTCCGATTTGCTGACATCAAATCATTGAGCTTACCGCTGTTTTATTCGGAATATGATTAGTAGTCATGAAATTACTTTGTGGTTGAAAGAATTTTTTAAGGAAATTCAAAATCATTTCAGTTACTATAAGATTCTTATTTACAGAACCGAAAATATTTTTATCTTGTTTATAAAGCTGTTTTTAAGACACAAAATTTGATCCTTATTTTCAAACACAAAGCATCCCACAAAAATTCAAGAATTCGTTTCCCATTGTACAAAAAGTATACAAAAGTTCTATTCATTAAGAATCATCTAGTAAGTAACCGTATAATTGCCATAAAATTTTTATGCTTTCAATATTTTTTTCAACTTTTTTAAAGAATTAAAATCTCAAAAAATATACAATCAACAAGAGCATGCAAATTCTTATAAAAAAAATCAAAAGTAAAGATAGAACTAAAATCAACACTCTTTAAACATAACTGAACTTTATGAACTTGGCATGAAATTTTGATCATTGAGAATCTAATCAACATGATGAGTTATTTCCATGTCAAAAGTTCAGGCCAAGTTCAAAATTAAAATTTGCATTTTTAAAACAAGAAAAAAATAGAAAGAAAATTAATAATTAACTCGAATTTCATATAAAAATATTAATTCCATGTCCATTACTTATGAAACATGTCATTAAAGGTTGTCGTACGATTGAGAAAAGGAATTTAATTGACGAAAAAAAAATTTACAACATTTTTCAATTAAAAGCAAAAGACACAAAAATTAAAAACAAATTAAAAACTTATAAAAATATTGGAAGACATCAAATTAAATTAAATTATAATACATGTGCGCATATAAAATATTTAAGTGAGAGAAAATGTCAATAAAAATTCTTTCTTGTAGCATCAAAATCACTTCATTTTTTTTCGTAGATGATTTCATGTTAATTGCAATTCATTCAATTAATTATAATATTGAGGTTTATAATATTCATAAGTATATGCAGCATGTGTGTAGTACAGTTGATCGGTAATGTAAATTTATTTTTTTAATGTAAAAGAAAAATTACCAAGGACGCCAAACAGGTTCATCCTTACATTGTCCAGGCGATGAACTCGCTGATGGTGGGGATGATAACGAGTCCCGACTTATTGGTCTTGTCAATATTGGACTATCGTTATCGCTTGAACGTCTGTCATGCATTATTGCTGATAAACTTATTTTCTGCGACGGAAGTGGTAAATAATTTTGTGCTGGAATTGGACTTTTTCTCACTAACGGAATCGCAATTGGCTGTCGAATGTTCTGATGATGATGATTATGATGATGATGGTGTGCTGGCATAATAAAAGACGACGGTGGTTGTTGCTGCTGTTGTTGATTTAGCTCTAATTGCAAACTGTCGTTTGGGATGTAATTATTATTGTTTGCTATTTGCATGTTGTTATTGTTAGCACTAGCAGCATTTGTAAGATTATCTAGCCGTCTTATACACTCATTTAAATGTACGATAATGTGTTCGCCCGCACGATTCTGCTGGCCGTATAAGAATTTCGCAACTTCTTTGGTACATTGTGAAAAGCCATCACGAAAACGATCAGCATAGCTCTGTTCCGAATTGATATAAAATTTATTTTGACGTTGAAGAGTTTTCAAGTGCCGACACGTCAACTCGAGTATATCTGCTTTTTCCAACTTGGTTATGTTTTCTTCACCATCAGTCTGTAATTAGAATCCAAAAAAAAAGTATGAAGAATTAAAATAAACATGAATGAAATTTTTTTTCATATAAATATTAAATTATATGTATGAAGAAGAGCATACACAAAAAGGAAAGAAATAAATACTTTGAACTAAGAAGAAGAGATGAGATGAGAACATATAGAAATGATAAATTGTGGGAAAATTTTAAACTTCAAAAAGCACACGGTGAATGCATTTGCACAAGTAAGTAAGTAAGTGAGTGAGTTGTATGAGGGCGAGAAATGTGTAAGATGAATGACAAAGCATTCTCGTTCCATAAGAATGCAGTTTTAATAACAAACGAAATAATTGAGACTTTAAGCATAATTATTCTGGGAAGATGGTATACAAATTTTTTTAAGTATTGACTAATTAGTGCTGTGCATGATCGTAATTAGTAGTCGGTTGGATTTTTTAAAAACGCGACGGTAACTTACATTTTGCAAAGCTCCAGTAATGAGATCCTTTAATTCGTCAAGACAACGATTGATTCTTGCACGTCGTTTACGTTCTAGCATTGGTTTCATAATTTTTCGGTATTGATATGTTTTAGATAATGGCGAGTCGGTACCTTGACCATTGCCACTGTTATTGTTTAATCCTATTGTTGGTGCCATTTTCATTACAACTTTAACACTTAATTCCTTTTATCTTTAAATTAATTATAAACTTTTCACGTTTATTGTCACTTCTGGTTCCTTAATTATTTTTTTTAATCCTGTTAATTCACTTCACAAGTTCTTAATTCTTTTTGTATAATTCTTAATTATTTTAAGGCGCGCGATAGACATACGTCACGTCCAATTGCTTGTTGAAGTTGATTTAAACTGAAAGAAAAAAATTTTGTTGTTTTTTTCTGTATCCAGTCATTCATTCATTCATTCGTTCGTGCCCAACGAGAATGATATGGGAATGAAGAAAAAAAAGAGAAGTGGAAGGGGAAAAAAGCTCACTCCGCTCGATCGCTTGGCTTGTACATTTTCTCTCTCATGCTGTACACATTAATTCCCTTTTTGTATTGAGCACATCGTTGTCGTGTGTTTTGCCATGCTTTTCGGTGTAGGTCAAGAAATTTGAGCATGAGAAAGAGAGAATTCTTTTCTTACTTCTGTTTATAGCTTGCGGCAGACATGAGGAGAACTTCCCTAATTTTATTTTCCCTTCTGAATTTTCAAATGCTTAGGTAAGGATAAGAAAAAGAAATATTAATTGGAAAAAATATAAATTTTACGTGCGAGTTTACGGTGCATTAAAGATTGTAGAAATAATAAGGGTGAAGAAATAATCAGCATGAGATCCTTTCGTGCTGTCTTAAAAACGCATAATGTTAAGAAGAAGGGTGAGAATATAATCAAGGGAAAGATTTTTAATTTCTGAGAAACTCGTTTGATCAGTTCCTTTCTTTAAAATTTTCTTCTTTTCAGAATGCTCGTGATTCTCATGATTAATATTTCAATCGGTCATTAAATTACTTCTTTTTTTTTATGAATCCTTTTTATCTATTCTTTATTGTAGTAGTCAAAGGAGACCAAACCAGCTAGACTTATAGACGATTCAATCAATGTCCATAATTAATAATACGAAACAGCATAATTTCCCATTGTTAGAATTATTCTTCTTCGATCGCGCTGTGTTATTGCTTCCCCAATAATAAATATACATACACCATATATTCTATAATAGAATATAACAATGATAGATAGTTAGACTTTTTCGTAGATTACAATAAAAGTGACTATAAAGAAGCCCCGAACATTGAACATAATAAACCATATTAAAGGAAAATTATAAAACGCATTGAACTGTTTCAAATAAGAGATAAAGAAAGGAACGAAAAAAAGCTTTTTTTGTATACAATTGAAAAAAAAATCTTTTTTTATTATAATAAGAAGCATCAAACCATTTAAAGCAAAAGCAAAAGCAAAAAAAAAGTGAGAAAGAGAGAAAGACAGACGGAGAGAAGGAAAGAAGAAGTACAAAAGAAGTGTGGGAATTTTCTGTTGCTGTTGTTGTCTTCAGCTGTTTATAAAAATGCTAAAAGAATAAAATACAATAGGGGAATGTAAAGAAATTTTTTTATTTCCCACGAATGGAATGGAATATGTTGAAAGCATGTCACACACGCTTGAGTTTTGAGTCGAATGTATATACTTTTCGTGCTTTTGTTCCGCATCAATGAGCGACTTTATAAGCAGTCTTCGATCTTTGGATATTGATTCTCGGACTGTTACTTAACTCTTTAATACATCCTACCAAGAAATTACAAATTAAAGCATATAAAAAAGAGAAGATTTCATTTCGTGTATACAACGAATTGAACATTCAAAGGCATAATTGCTTATTGATTTTTTATTGTTCTTTGCTGCTTTTATGTTTCAGTGCTCTCTTAACAACAAAAAAAAGTTGTGGTGTAAAAAAAGGAACGAATGTATGTGGAGATAGAAAAGAAAAGCAATTGCCAATATAACACGCTGATTATCTCACTAGTAAGTTCCTTCAAAAAAAAAAACGACTTTCCCACCAATCAGCTCCAATAAATGCTATTCCTATTATTCAATGATAATGATGAAGATGATGACCTACATCCGGCGTTCACAAAAATATTTTTCTTTAATTAAAATAATTTTCATGTTTGCAAGACCCACTGCTGTGCTACTGTGTTGTATTTGATGATGATGCAATATATGGCATAAAAAAAAGTACGGAATGAAGAAGAAAAAAATGTTCTCATGCATTCATGAAGATATTCAATCATTAATTCAGCCAGTCACTCAACAACAGAAGAACCCTTCCAAGAAGAATGAAACAAAAAATAACAATGACAAAATCTCAAATTCCACTGCTCATTCCATATTTGCTCATTGTGTCTGCCCTCTTCCACGTTCCGGAGCTTACTTTTCCCATAAGTTTTGCGCGCATGTTGAATCGAGCTATGCTTCTTCTTCCTCTTCTTGTTTATCTCTCTTTCCTTTCAATTCACAATTCAAGTCAGAATAAAAAAAAATTATGGACGTAAAATAGAAGCGAAAAAAAAAATAAACGAAAAAAATTAAATATCATCAACGACAAAGTTCTCCCCTTAAGTTTATGGGAAACTGGCAAAAGAAATTGAATATTTTTTTTTTTTTTCATTCTTTATTCTTGTTTTTCTTCTTGTTTCTTCTCAACTTCTCATCATCATATATCGTATTTGAACTCTCGCTTTGTTGCTTCTTCTCATTTAAGTCAAATATGAGAAACGCGTGACGGAAATATATTTAGACAGTCTGGATGAAAGTTGATTGAAGATTTGAATTTCACAATTTTTATTGAATTTATACAATTGAGTTTACTTTGGCATCGTAACATACTCAAGTCAATTCGGTACCATGACTATACTGGGGGTCCTCGATTTGAGTAGGTGTTTTGTTCCTATTCAAATCGAATTATTTACTTTTTGTATGAAAAATGTCCGTTACAAAATTTTTTTTAAATTTTCTATTCATTAATTCTCATTACTCAAATCGAATCTATTCAAAACGAATCTACTCAAATCGAGGACCCATAGTACTCATTTATATGTTAGGATGATCATATTCTTACTCTAAACATGTTCATATGTGGAGCTTAGGTTACAACAGAAGGTTTTTCATCTGACTCTATTCCTGGCTCTGTCACCTAGTTTGTACAATTTTTCTTTGGGCACATTAAGCTGACATTCTTTAACCATGTTCTACGACAACTAGCTTTGATTGTGGTTACCAGTAATGGTAAAGCAACCAAAAAGTTGAACTTGAATGTTAATTTGATAAAGCATTTCAAATCTCATCTATTAAAACTTTAAAAAGCTTTTATAAATTTGAAAAAATTCAATTTAGTAATTTTTCATTAATTCTAACCAGAGCTCGAAGTTGACTCGAGATTTTCATTGAATTTGATGAAATTTTTTTCGAATTCGAGCTCTGATTCTAACTGTGCTTAAATGATGATGAGTTTCTGTTGCTCCACTATGAAGCGTAGGGCGTCCACAAAGCATTTGAATCGCACTCGATTCTGTGCTTAAATGATTATACTTAAAAGTAAGCTTTAGAAAAACTTTGCAAAAACACTTTGTTAAATTAGGTCAAGGACCCTCTCCCAACTACATCCATAATCAGCATAAGTATGCGGTTGAAACCTTGTAGTAGATTTGTCTCGTTGAACAAAAGAGTGGGTTATGAATTATTGATTTTTTAATTTTAAGAAGTTTGCTTAGTCATGTGCATTAGTTCAAGAACCTAGTAATCAAAACTACTGTTTGACACATAAGAAATCCCGAAATTACCATATGCACATTAACCAATCAAAAAGAAAAAAAATCTTTCTTCTTTTCTTCAAATGAAATCCATGAGAACGAAAGACGGTTGAAAAGAAGCAAGGAAAGAAACAAAAAAAAATCTAAAATTGAGTAAGACGAAGAAAAGAAATAAAATCATAAAAATATTGTATAGTAGTGCTGTGAATCACGTGTTTTAGCTCGAGCAGCTTTTTGAGCGCGAGCGAACGAGTGCTACATGAGTAAGTATAAAGAAAACTGATCGAAGGGGAATTGAGATTGAGATTTTATTTATGAGAAGGAAAAAAAAGAGCTGAGTTAGTGAATAATGGGTGGTGCCAAAAATGTAAAGAAGCTTTTTTCAATTTTTTCTTCTTTTTGCTTTCAACTTCTCTTTTATTTAATAAGCGCGCATTTGAGTATAAGGAAACAATAATCGCTTTTCATTGCTCTGTTCACTTCTCACTCTTTACTTCATTCGTATCGCGCGTTTGAATCTTTATTAATTTCCAACTAATATACAAGAGAAAAAAAGGCACATGAAGAAGAAGAAAAAAGAAAGAATTTAAATGGGAATAAATTTGAGCATAGAAATTAATTTAATATGCGGCTAAAAATGTTTGATCCGATCATCATGTATATACACATATAAGAATTTTGTATAGAGATTATGGGAATCGGGAGCGCGTTAAATGATTTGTACAATGCTGAATATATTCATTTTTTTGGGGGGCATATCTACAAGTGTCTGACATAATGTTTCTCATCTCTCGCACATTCTTCTTCCCATACCATATCCACCATACATAAAATTTAATTCTTTAATGATATTTCCCATGAAAATGAAGCGCGACTTCTTTCTTTTAATTCTCTTGCCTTTATTTCTTCAGAAAAAAAATGTTAAATTCAATTGTATGGCATACGGATAATGATGATCTGCTTGAAAATTAATTACAGACATTTCTCATCTCTTAAACTTCCTTTCATTGCAGCAATACCGAATCGAGAGATTACACCATCATTTTTTAACCTATACAAAGTAGTCATTCAGACCCGGCAGCTCACAAACATTTTGTAAGAAAATTATATGGATTTAAATGATCACTAAAGCGCGTGATTTTTGGTAATCAAAAAGCCTTCTTTTTTCTTTGTTTGACTTTAGGCCGATGCCGATGCCGCTGATGCTGTACTACTGCTGTCGTTACTGTTCCGGTCTTTCATTAACTTCCCAAATTTTATAATTGCTCCATAATCTCATCATAAGATCATCATCATCATGATTATCATAAGCTTTAAACTTCTTACTGTGTTTTTTTTTTGTTTTTTGATGATATCCGCCAATTTATATTGCATTCGCTGGTATAAAGTAAAGTAAGTAAGTAATTGCTTGCTTACTTAATTAGAGGAAAATAATCTATTCAAATATAAAGTCGAGATGATTTAATTTTAATTTTTTGTCGGTGAAATTATTCAATGAGATGTGATTAGGTCGCTATTGTCTGATATTTTGTTACAT